AAAGTTGTAACTTCTATATTTACCTTATGTAATACAGTATAAGCAAATTATTGTAGCTACATGGTAAGGGCAGAAACATTCTTACCAAAGAATTTTTACCATCTAAGAAAGGCAGAATCATCCTTAAATATAACAAGAAGGGGCAAAATCATACCATTAATTTGCAGTTATGAAGGCAGAAATGTCTTTACTAATTACCTTCCTCAATGACATCAGTGAATATTTACAACTAGATCATTTTGAGATTTAGCTAAGAGAATAGGTTCGCCTATGACTGCCCCTATATTGTGACAGTGAGGAAGGAAAAGTCATGTATTACCTTCCTTGAATACTCTGATGATAAAAACTATTAGCATAACGGCCAGTGTTCTAACCTTTAGTGAACCATAATTTATATATCAAACATTTACAACATCAGGTCATCACCACATCTTATGTCAGCTCTACCTAAGCTGTTAAGCACAAGGTGACATTCAGGAATGTAATTTTAGTAAAGTTATAGTCAGTAATGTTCAGTGTCAAAGGCACAGTAGATGAGTTAAAAAACAAAATACCCTGACCATAATTTAAGACAAAAGTATTTATTTCCTTTAAATTCTGTAAATGTGGCTTACAATACATGACATTCCATGATGCATTATGAAAACGAGAGGACAAAATAACTGGTTGTACATTTAAGTGGCTTATTTAATTCTCAAATGGAGATGCAACAGATAAAGAAATAGATTCAGAAATGAGTACAGCTCCCAAGAGTATGTATGAATTGGCACATATCAGTTTTTGTTAACAGGCTAATATTACCATCTGTACCTCATTCCTATAATAGAAAATGCCAGACATTCTGCTAGATAGTTTATTGAGAAATGTTCAGTATGCTTATAAGGAGTGGTACTGGCATTACACATATATCTTCTCTAGAGAAAAGCAAAGTTGTGGAAAATCAGGGCTAGATTTTGCTCAGATAGCAACATTGTCCCAGTTGCAATTCAATTCACTGTCCTTTGTCCTTGATATACAGTGGTACCTCTAGTTATGAACTTAATCCGTTCCATGACTCTGGTTGCAACTCGA